TGAAGCTGATGCTTCGATCATCAACTTGTACCATTGCAGAGTCGTCGGCAATGAAGCCAGTGGGAGTCCGTTCTCTGATGCTCCTCGCCTGTCCGGGATGTGCCCCAGAGCTGGCGGCCTGCAAGACCGACACATCATTCCCAAACTTCACCGACTTCTCTTCTGTGTCCAGGTGTACATCTTGAATGTAACCTGTGGGAGTTCTCTCACGGATGTCGCGAGCTGGTGCGGCACAAGCCCGGCTGGCTGCATCCACGGCCTCCACCTGCGCACTGAAGCTGATGCTTCTGTCGTTGTCCTGCCCTGTCCATCTGCTTTGACTAGGACTAGGATGTGGATGTGTCTCTGGCTCCTCCTGAAACATCTTGCGCAAGCAGTGAACAAACTGCGCTTCTTCAGATCCTTCCCGGCCTGGATTTCCGCAGACAAGATTCGAACCATCTTTCCAGTGCTCGGCAGAGTCTCCTGGTGCGTCGTGCGACAGCCCATCCGAAAGCTGTGGAATGCAAAATACGACAAGCTGTTAGTGTGCGTCCTCGATCATCTGTGAACTTACATGTGGCGTTGGCATCCTACCCAAGAGAAGAAGAAACGTGGCTTTGCTGTGCCTGTACATGCCTCGTACCAAATTTGCAGCACAAGGCTTTGCAGCTCTCAAAGTCCTATCCCGGGTTGGCCGCAAATGCCCATCAAGTCCTTCCGCTTCAAACTCCTGGAAGGGTTGTGTTGCTTTGAATGTGCTGGCCATGCTTGTCACATCCTCAACCGTCGACAGCGCCGGTGCGAGGAACACCCTGCGCTCCTGCAACTGAGCCACTTTGCAAGGCAAGGATACTAGATTTCACCTGCAGTTGCCTCCAAATCTGTTGTTGCTCTCACATAAGGTGTTGAGATACGGTCACGCACGGACCTGTTGCCAACCTGTCAATTGAAGGACGCAGCTGCCTTTACACGGGCTGAGCGCTTCGGGTCATGGCACTCGGTGACATGGCCTCTGGAACACTTTCCGGGACTTCTGGTGATGTCACCGTGGTGATGGAATCCATGAACTGCACGGATGCCTGCAAGAACACACGAGATTTCAGTTTCTAAAGGCAGCGATGGGTCGAATCACGGTCCAAGCCGAACCAGGCCTCTGCAACTGATGTCATCCCCGCCTGCAAGCAAATTAATTGTCAATGTACGTATTGCAGACTCGCTCAGGACATCCCTCCGTAAGCTCGACGCTTCAGCCCACGGCGTAGGCCTTGAATCGACACGACTACCACAGTCGTTTGCTTCTTTTCATTTAACTTGAGATAACTTGAGCCTCCGTCGAACAAATCAAGAAACGAACAAGGCTTGGTAGCTTTGAAGTCTTGGTAGAACCATTGTCTTGCGCATTTGACGAACAGCAAAGGCAGCCGTCCAGCATCGAAATCTAGAACGCCATGTTTAGCAAAGTGCCTACTTCGGGAGGGACTTCTGCAGTTTGAGCGCTGCTAGGTCGCTCAGGTCCCCACCCGGGTCGGGGACATATATATATATATATATACATATATATATATATATATATACATATATATATATGTATGCTACCCCCACTGGGTTATCCAACCTTTTTGGGTGGAAATGACCGAATTGGCCCATTGCCCGGGCTGCGACGCATCACGGATTGAAGGTCTTACCGATTGTGCGGAGGAGATTGGGATTGGCACCATGCCCCCAACACCCCCAAAGACCATAGACTGGGACTTGTTGTTTGTGGGATTCTACAAGAACATATATGCTAGCCCTTCCAAAGACCAAGGCTTTCAGGCTGTAGCCTTCATTGCTTCAAGAATGCGATCGACAGGGTCCTCACGGGATAAGGATCCTGCTACTTGGGGCTTCTGTATTGAGGCCCCTGGTCTTCTGAAACTCCTAAACAGTAAAGGTCCATTTACATGTATCGTATTAGCTGTAAAGTTGCTTGTCAGCAACCCTTTCTACATCCAAAGTATATATTATATAGGATTGAAACAAGAGCCTTAGAGATCGTTAATAGAACCCTTATAGATCTCTACAGAAGCCTTCTAAACCCATTACAGAGCCCTGATAAATCCTATAAACAACCCTGATAGAACCGATCTAGAACCCCCACAAAATCCTGTCTTGTAGGTGCATGGACCCCGGCAAAAACGTATCGAGTTCTCTTCTTGGATCTGTCCAAACTCTGGACTACACCCCCTGCTAGGATAGACATATCGGGCCGAAAGCCCTTAAGTTTAACACTCAACTATATAAATTCAACTCGACAGTCAGTTTTGCGGTTGCTGCTACTTGTGTATGTGTGCATGCATGTTTATATATTTTTGCAGCAACTCGTAATAGGCACCAAGTTGCGCAACTGAGACTATTAAAGCCGCACCCCGAGTCAAAACACAAGGAATCCCAAAACACGTTGAAGCGGCAACACACGAGATTACTATGGGATCCTCCATGGTGCAGCTTCTTGTCTTTTCGCGTTCTGTCTCATCTTAGCCGCCCCAGCTCCCGAAATGCGACCTTCTTCCTGTTACATCATGATAGTGTGTATCACCAGGTTCCACGCGCGACACGCACACAAAAACTTGAACAGAGATATGCGTTTTTATGAACTAGGCAAACACATCAATACTTTACTACATTACACACGTAGGTAGATTTGTGACAACATTTTGTTCTAGATATTTTCTGTAAAACGTTGACAGAATTCTCGGGTATATTAAAAAAACCTGTGTACAGAGATCGTCGGGTCAGCATTGGTCTGTGTAAGTGGCCCCCGTATACTCGATACCTGATATCCAGTTGTATCTGACGCAAAGGCAAAAAGCTCATGCTCGTGTATTTGTAGTCCACTATGCAATGTTATTGCGGTCTTGATGTACATTTGAGGAACCTTACCTTTTGGGACTTTAGGATTTGGTGCTTCGGGGTTTGGGGGTTTGCAGCTGTAGATATGAACCAGGCAATGAACGTTTGAGCTTAAATTAAACCGAAGTTGGGTTTAATTCAGGCTGTAGGTTTATGGCTCAGCGTGTGGGTGACTTCAAAGTGCAGGGTTCAGCGTAACTGACATGAAGAGACGGCGAGATGGAGACTTAGCACATCAGTGCGAGGCCTATTGAGTTCAATGGGCCTCAGGGGTGGATTGAACTTAAACACTCGGGATGCATCGCGACTGCCCTCATTGCGCTAAACACGCGTGCGCATGTACTCTAGCATCTGTTGTCTTGTTGTAGTTCTGCACACATACCAGAGCTCATAATATACACAGACACACGTACAGAGTAGGTCCTGGTAGGCAAGTGAGGGGGAGGTGGTCAGGGCAGAATACACAGGATTTACATCAAAACTGGTGGATAACTCGGGGGATACCATATATATATATACATATATATATATATGTACAGCAACAGCACTGCTTAAGAAATCACTGGTTTAAGAAATTGAGCCCCTCGGACAGCCGCGCGACAAATTTTTTTTGAACAAATCCCATTTGAAAATAAGAAATCCAGGGTACCCTGACCTCGGCGTGCAATCTCTTATTTTGCTCTTCTCATTCTGTCTTCACCATTTTTGTTCGCGCAAAAAAAGAACCAAGAAACTAAGGGACTCGATTTTGTACTCCGAAAGCTGGACAGTTTCTTGCGCCGGCCAGAACACCTCAAAATAAGAAATTGAGCCCCTCAATTCCTTAAATTTAAGAAATCGAGCCGGCAAGCCGGTCATAGCTCAATGGGCAGATAGGCAACTTCGAATACACTAGGAATCGAGATTTTTGGGTGACCAAGGGCAATTGAGCCCCAGCTCGTCCTTTCAAGCAAACCACCAAAATAAGAAATTGAGGGCTCGATTTCTTAAGTTGAAGAAATTGAGAGGCTCAATTTCTTATTTTGGGGGGTTCTGGGCTTGCCTAATAAAGGCTTAATAAGGGCTGTATTAAGCCCTAATAACAGCTCTGGAGGGCTCCAGAGGCTCTATTAGGGCTTAATCACCAAAATAAGAAATTGAGGCGCTCGATTTCTTAAATTTAAGAAATTGGGGGGCTCAATCGCAAATCTTGGGGGCTCTAGTAAGGGCTGATTGCACGCTGTATGCATATTGATATGGCTTGAAATGCGGCCTAATGTGATGCCATGCCCGAGTGGATGAGCGCATTCGCTGGAAGGAAACTGTCTTCTAATTTCTGTGCGGTTAATTCTGGAGCCTATTCAAATTAAGAAATTTGACTTAAGAAATCCAGGGTATGCTCAAATCCCGTTTTTTTACTAAAAAAAAAAGGTGCGCTTCAAAAATAAGAAATCGAGCCCCCCCCCCTCACGAAAAAAATATCTGTTTCTCAACCGGCGCTGTCGCTGCACATATAGTATGATATAATATATATAAAAAAAAAAATATATATATATATATACATATTATATATGTATCATGGTGCATGATCGTTTCGTTCAGTCGGCTACGGCCACAGCAGAACATGCGTGCATCCGAGCGAGCGAGATGAAAGCCAGTTGTGGAGAACAAAGCCGGACAGAAGCGCATGCAACACCTTCTCGAAAAAATGACAGCAACACAGACTTCAACTTTCATGTTGGTATTTCACGTCAAGAGGCACTCGCTCCCGAAAAGGTCGCAAGGTGGAGCTGGGGCCTGAAGTGCCAATCTTCCATGGTGTTCCCATAGCCGAAACCCTAGGTGGCCAGCTCATTGGCGACTCTGCGATGGACGGTGGCTCCAGGGAAAGCCTTGCAGAAGGCCTGGGAGGTCGCGATCTAGGACTCTTCCTGTGGACATGTCTGAGAGCCCCTGAGACGGTAGCTTTTGGCTGGATGCCTCGACACGCATGTGTGGCTGCGTGTCATGCGCAGAAGGTAGCGGATTCGTCGGATCCGCTTGCACGTTGCCTGGGAAGGCGCTGCACTCTGCAAATCGGCCAAACCACTGCCTGCGACTCGACCGCCATCACAGTGCTTCGTTCACATCGCTGGCAGCAGATCTTAGTTAAGATGTGCCTGCAGTGCCACCAGTCAGCAAGCGAATCTCCTCCTCCATTTCCACCAAGCGCCTGCTGGACAATCTGCTGTGAAGTGTGCTGCAAACATCCCTATCAATGCCTTGCTTGGTCTGATATTCTTCACGAGAAATCATGGTAGGCGAACAATGGCGAACAGAAAGACACAATACCCCCAACGTGCTTGAAGCTTGCCCTGGGCCGCTCAACAACGTAATAACGGTGCAGCCTGTCTTCATTGCCATGTACTTTCTCACCAGCAGTGCCGAGTCCAGATCGTTGATATGAAATCAGATAACAAGATTGGTTCGAATCCACCTGCAAAAACCTTCGAGCAGCAGGGTATCCTAACTTGCTCGAACGCCCCTCTCTGCATTGTAGGTCCGAAGTGTTTGAAGCTGAGTCTCTGCAGGGTTTGCTCCTTAGTGCGTAGGTGTGCTACTTATCCGTTCGGGTGCAGCACTTTGCAGGCCAGATGCGAGAGGCTGGGAAAACTACTTAAACCACGACAGTATGAAGCAAACGCTGTTGGTTGATCGGCTTGAACTATTGGGTGGTATTGCTTGTAATTGCAAATATAAACATCGGACTCCGGAAGATCG